TGTTTTTATCGTCTTGGCAAAGGAGGGAGACAATTTTTTTTCGTTTTTTTGTATTTTGAAATGGCCCAAATCTTGAGTGTATTAAGTTCATGAAAAAAATAATTTGGTCTGACATTTAAAAGGAAAATGTTCTTAATTGTTTGATAACAATGCAGTTTTCACATTTAACAATCGTTTTTACCATTTCTGTGTTGAGTGTGAACTATAAAATGTTTTGTTGCTTTCTTCATTAGTTTATTTTTATATAATTTGTGAGTTGGTTCCTTTAAGTTTCCGGAGTTTATTAGATATTTCTAAAAAAATTCAGGTTTGTTATATCTCACTTATTACTAGTTGTGTTATTAATAGTTTATTAAGTTAATGAAAAAAGTAATTCCAACATTTCAAAGGAAATTTTAGTCACGTAATATCAATGACTCACATTTATCCATTTTTTTTCAATGTTGAGGTCGTTTCAAACCCCTTTTTATCTACGGTGGTCTTCGTTTTAACTACCAAATTGGAGTGGCGACACATTTTGTTTTACTGATTATCAACATAAAGACCCTGCTGACGTAAAGAGGTGTTTAAAACTACAGGGTAATACTTCTTCAGCAGAGTGTTATTTATATACTGTATAATTTGAGTATAGGTTTCCTTAAGCTCTTGGAGTTTATTCATTATTTCTAAAATTCTTCAGTCTGTTATATCACATACAGTATATATGCATAAATGGAAACTTGTTACTAATTGTGCTAATTGCTGTTAGTAAATAATATTGAAACATATACTTTAGTTTGAAAATTGTTTTACATTTATATTTGATATATCTCAGATTATTTTGTGCCAGTTAGTTTTGTTGAACCTACTTATATAAGTACATACTAATTTAGTTGTTGTTTGTTATCAGTTTCTTACATCTGCATTATATTAAAGTAAAAACTATATGGGTTTTCTATCCTGTAAGATCACTTTACTGGCCTGCTGTACTACAGTCTACATCACCAACGACTGTATTTGGATATATAGATATTTATTTTGCAAAGCGTCATACAAATTTACAGTTGGTTCAGATTGCAATGTATAATCGGAAATATACTGTATACTATGACAATGCAGGTATACACTGTACAGGGATAAGTCTTCTATGATGAGTGAAATGTAGATATAGTTAGAATTTATTTAGTTGTAGGATAAAGTGAGGAAAGTTTGCTAGCGTGGCCGATTAGTTATTTAACTTGGTATATATTCTTCAGGGGAATTTTCTAAACACCAATTCTAAGTACAACTATTTATTATTCAACCCAACGGTATGAACACATTAATAGATCATTATATTTGTGTTACTAAACAATGACTCGGACACAAACATGAAATGGATACACTTCCCACTGTAAGTAACTCGCCCTTGGATCGCTCTGACAATCCCGAAAGTTGCAACTAGTTATGTATGAACAGATAAAGCTTCTGAAATACATAAATACAAATTCAAATGAGAAAATAAAGAAAAAACAATATTTAAATGGCCCAATAACCAGTTCCGACGGAAATTTATATATTTTTAAGACACCGTCTTGTATCCCCGTGATGTTTACCGTCAACTCTGAAATGTTTTTGTCTCCCAATTATACTTATCACAAATTATCTAGCATTACTTTCCTGCAAACATCCTCCCGTAGCCTCAAGTACACTGCAAACATCCTCCCGCAGCCTCAAGTACACTGCAAACATCCTCTCGTAGCCTCAAGTACACTGCAAACATCCTCAAGCACACTGCAAACATCCTCTGCCTAGCAAACATCCTTCAAGCACACTGCAAACATCCTCCCTGTAGCCTCAAGCACACTGCAAACATCCTAGCCTCAAGCACACAAACATCCTTACACTGCAAACATCCTCTCGTAGCCTCAAGTACACTGCAAACATCCTCTCGTAGCCTCAAGTACACTGCAAACATCCTCCCGTAGCCTCAAGTACACTGCAAACATCCTCCCGTAGCCTCAAGTACACTGCAAACATCCTCTCGTAGCCTCAAGTACACTGCAAACATCCTCTCGTAGCCTCAAGTACACTGCAAACATCCTCCCGTAGCCTCAAGTACACTGCAAACATCCTCCCGTAGCCTCAAGTACACTGCAAACATCCTCCCGTAGCCTCAAGTACACTGCAAACATCCTCCCGTAGCCTCAAGTACACTGCAAACATCCTCCCGTAGCCTCAAGTGATACTGACACTAATAATTAACTTGGAATTCTTTGTTCCATGCTATATGGAACCGTCTACATACAAACTGAACCAATGTAGCTGAATAGATATCGATCTATCTACCGGAGAGTGGGGAGGAGTATAGATCAGGGGTTAGGGGGGTCAAGTTGTGCGGGCTAGGCTGGTCGCAACACCAAGTACGGTGAATTTACATGAGTCAGGCCTGCCTCAGCCCCCACACCTTATTGACTCATCCTGGTGTTTTTCTCCACGGTAGACTAGGAAAATTGTTGTACTGCCTTCTTCTGTGTTTCCATAATTATACAATCTGTCTCACTTTAAAATGCTGGTTTTCCGGCATCTTCGTGGTGTAGATTAACACTGTATAACCTTTTTCATCTTTATTTTTAATTTCTTTCTGTTCTTATTTTTCCCCAGGCCCCGTTGTGGGTCGTTCGACCTGTGCCCGGGTGGGCCAATTCCCGTAAAAAAAAAAATATATGTACAGCACTGTACAGCACATAAACAGTGCAGGGTTTTTTTTTTACGGGGGTTAGCGCACCCGCTCGCCCCACAAGGGGTCACAGCTCAAGACTGAAGAAGCCGCAGTCCAGAAAACTGTGAGAGCAAACTTTTTCGGAGTGAGAGTTGTGAACTCTTGGAACAATCTACCAGAAAGTGTTGTGACGGCACCGAATGAAAGCTCTTTCAAGACCAGACTTGACCAACACTGGAGGGAGTTCAGGTACATTCAGGAGCCGGTGCATGCCCAGTACTTGCCAACAGTGCGTAAGAGACGTGACCGATCGCCCAAGCGGCTAACGAGCCGATCAGTGGTGAAGAGGATAACACTAAAACCACATCAGGGCTTGGGGTGGGGGGGGGTGGGGGGGGCGTAAATATAATAATAATCAATTAATAGAAATGAATAAAGATAAATAAAAAATAATAATAATACTGTAATAATAAAATAATAATTACCACAAATAAATACAAAAATTAAAATATAAATCAAGAGTGAGAAACGAAATACAATATGTATGTTGTGTTGTCAATAGTAAGAGAAGCAACTGAAACCCTGCAATTGTGTGTAAATGAGTCAAAGTCAAATTAGCAACCTGGAACTTGGTCACATTTTTTCTGGGGGTCTTTTGAAGAGATGGTTTATCAGGATGCTGGTTTTTCAAGAGTCAATCGAAATGTGACAGCGTAACATATCTTCAATATCACCAGAAACTGATATCCTGGACCCGTCGAAAGCGTATGACGCACAACATTGCAATTTCCGATTATTGTTTATCATATCTGACTGGAAAGTAGATTTCCTGTCATGAGTCAGGAAGTATCTGAGGATGTAGATAGGTCTTGCCATAAAATATGTAAGAGAGAGAGAGTAAAGACATTACCCGTGTATATATTTTTAATGTAATTTCTGATTCGTATGGTGATAAAATAATTTCCCTTGCAGTTTTTACATATTTGTCTGAACTACAATATACGACTAGAGAAATACTATGCATTTCAAGAGTCGGGTACTGCTACTAAAAGAGTATATTTCAGGTCATTTATGATAAAAAAGTTAGAAATAATTACTTTTGAGATAGTGTCTTTGAACGAGAGAATACAGAAACAGACAAAATACACAAATACAGCCACACCCTCACAGTGTGACTGACCCTCGCCTCCACAGGTTTAAAGGGACCAACGAAAGTTAGGTTAGGTCACATTATGTTCTGATACGTTGAATTAACTTCAATTAAGTTTTATAAGATGTAGTTAATTTTACTTACAAAAAGTTAGGACCCATTTTGGGTAAAATAAATAAATACAAGGTAAATTTAGCTAATAATTTGTTGAGGGGCAAATTGATTATATTAAAAATACTATTTTTATTCTTTACTTTACCGATATTGTTATATAAAAAGTTTCATAGACCTCTACAGGTCATAGAAAAGATATATTTTAATAAATAATTTAACTGCTGCACACGAGGTGGTTTAAATGCAGAGGTATTGAGCTTCTTTAGTCCAGTCAGTATACAGAATGAACAAAAGTATTCATACTACCAGAAAGCTGCAAGATTTTATTGTTTACTGCATATCAAGAGTATTATGCCTATCTAATAACTCATTCAAAATCTAAATGTAAATTACTAAAAATAGGCAGTAACAAGCGCTTTGCATCTTCCTTTCAATTAACAATTAATACTCTAACTCGATTAGATCAGTGTTGATCAAGATTGTTCATTAATAGCACCAGTCAATTAAACACAACTAAACCAAAACAGGATTAATGTTATGAAACGAACCTCGTAATAATTGTATTTCATTATTATAATTACAGGCTATATTATTACTATCTTGTTAATATAAAAAATTATTAAATTGTTATTGCTGATATTATTGCAGTTAATAATGGGAAGTCAACTTTCCATATTTCATTACAGTCATTAGGTATCCCGTAAAGAATATTCTTATAACCTAAGATTTTAATATTCTTATTTAATGTAATTATATGTATAATATTCATATATCAACAGGGTCACCGGTAAATATCATTAGTCTGTCCTAAACTTTGTAATAAATTTCATTTTCTATTATTCTTTCTAGAATATTTTCATTAAAGGTCGCAATATCTGGTGAACCTTATTAATAAGAGATGTCTCTTTCAGATATATTAATAAATACAACACAGAGATTATTTATGTTATACTTAGAGATAATATTGTGAGGTGAGAGAGTCAGGAGGGAGATAATGGCAGAGGCTCGGGCGTTTCTGAGTGGTGTGTGTGGGTTGGCGGAGGCGCAGTAGAGGCGCAGCATTGTATCGAATTTTCGAACTGTGGTACAGTGGTCCGCTGTCTGCCATATTCTGTAGTGACTGAATGTTTGTGAGCGTGAGGATAGTGTGCACATAACCAGCCAAAATGTCGGGGAACACGGGGATGGAACAGCTCATCCCCATTGTGAACAAATTACAAGATGCTTTCACACAATTGGGCGTCCATATGCAACTGGATCTGCCTCAAATTGCCGTAGTTGGTGGTCAATCAGCTGGCAAGTCCTCCGTCCTGGAGAATTTCGTCGGACGGTAAGTAGGCGGCCATATTTACCTTATAATCATTGTTTTAGAGAATATTAAGTGAAGTGGTGGTGTTGTAGGATTGAGTTAAGTTGGAGTGGAGGTATAAGAGGACAGGTATAGTGTGTGAGGGTCATAATGGCGGGTGTGGGCGGCTCTGAGGGGGCGGATCCTACTGACAAATTCCTCTTCATTTATCATTATTTACCTCAATATCCCCCGACCTGTTAATTAACTATCATGCCACGTAATAAGACTCAAGATCATCGAGTATTGGCCACATCTAAACTGTTCTGAGTCTTATAAATTCGACTTTGGTGAAGGTTGTTGGTTAGGTCAAACCTCCCAGGAAATCAATATTTTTCAAGGTATAATTTATACTTTGGCGAGACCTGGAGGATATATATTATTATACTTTGACTAGTATTTATCACTGTGCGTGTGTAGGTTGGCAGAAACGAGATGATTGTGTATGTATATTGATAAATCTTAGGTGTCACTTGTCATGTCATGAAATTGGTCAAGTCTAAACTTCACTCACAACCTTCCAACTCCTTGAAGGGCGACACAGTTGTACTTTGTCTCTACAATAGTGATCGTCATTTTTATTAACTTTCACCGAAATATACAAATATTCATCAGTTCTGGAGGAATTGTTGGTAATAGTTTAGTTTTGGTTGATTCATGTTAATGAGTTGATGAGTAACTGTTAAGAATAGGTGTTATGAAACTGGATATAATAAGAATGAACCAGGTCATTTTCACTAAAATCATACAAGCTGGGTGTTAGTGTGTCACTTAGCTAATGGCCAAGGCCTACTCGCTGCTTCACAAGTACATACTGTACTGTGATTTAGAAGTAATGTTTTGCAGTTCTGTCACTGGATCCCTCAACTACTAGGTCATTCAAGTAACTAAAGCTCTATAAACAAAATTCTTAAGACTTATTCACGTGATGGGGTCACAGTGCTTTAGCTACATTTAATTTTGGTAATATAGTAAGTCTTTGCTTAACGTCAGCTTACTTTCCTGAAAATGCGACGTTATACGAAACAACGTTAAGCGGATCAATTTTCCCCAAAAGAAATAGATAAAATCGGGACTTACGTTCCTGAGCCTTCCTTTGCCTCGTGAAATACATACCTATACAGAAAATAGTGCAGGCGTAGACAACTACAAGTACTGTAATGAGTTTGTATGAGTACTCACCGATGAGCGGAGGTGTCTGGTGGGTATTGACGTGGAGGAGACGTATGGCGGGAGCGAAGGAGGAGGGTGGTGAGTCACTGAGACTCTGCGGCTGCCTCCTCCTGCGCTGACTGGGGCTCCTCCATCACTGTTTGCTCCTCTTCCGTTGTTGTTCGCTCCTCCTCGGCTGTTGTGAAGATGCTGCTGCTGCTTCTGCCGTTCCGCGACGAAAATCTGAATCCAGTGTTGACTGCTTGGGGCTACTCCTCTTCTTCTCAGTGTAACAACCAAGACTGTCATCAATGCTGCGCTGAATTGTTGAGCTACGTTCCCTGTTTGGGTCATCTACAAGGATTTGCATACTTTGCTGGATCATGTTGAATGCTTCTGCCATCCTCTTGGTAGTTAGCGTGCGTTGAGGTTCTTTTTCGTCTTCGTCTTCAACGGGACTGTGTTCTGTTAGTTGTTGCAAATCCTCGTTGACGAGCTCTTCTGTATGGGATGCCAGGACATCCTCAATATCCTCTAATTCCAGCTCATCAAAGCCTGCCTCTCTAGCCAAGCTGAGGATATCCTTACTCACTGCTGGGACTAAGTCCGTGAATCCCGTAAAACTGTTGACGCACTCGGGCCACAGTTTACCCCACACACCATTCAGGCAACTTTCAGAAACCTCTTCCCTTGCCTTGCCAATGTTGTCAATTGCATGAAGAATGTTGAAGCTGCTCCAATATTCTCGGATCGTAGGTTTATTTTCTCCGTCTGTAGCCTTGAGCAGCTGGGCCATGGTATGGCGTAAATAATACGCCTTGAATGCTGCGATGATGCCTTGGTTCATGGGCTGCATCACTTCTGTCGTTTTGGGAGGCAGGAATGCAACTTTTACAGTCATGCAAGTCGTCGAGATTGGGAGGATGAGCTGGAACATTTTCAACAATCAGAAGAATTTTGAAGTCAAGGTTCTCCTTGGCACAGTACTCCTTCATTGCAGGGATGGCATACATGTTTACCCACTGGCTAAATATGGCACTGGTTATCCATGCCTTCTTGTTTGCCTTGTAGATGACTGGAAGTTGATCCTTAGAGTAACCTTTCAGGGCCTGTGGGTTGAAGAGCGAGAAATCTGTATAGGCTTCAGCTTGAAGTCGCTGGCAGCGTTCGCGCCAAGCAGCAGCGTCAAGTACTGTATTTTAATTTGGTTATTTTGCCTGAAAAAAAAATCTGTCCTGTGTAAAAAAATGGGTTTGGTACCGTTTAGTACCTTAATAATACTGTAATTCTTGTATTAATTGCTTTCAATGGAAGCAAGAATTTGAATCTAGTAAAATAATTTAAATTAGCAATGTTGAATATGCATGTGAAGAAAAGCATCTGGTCATTGTTGAGATTCGCTAGTGTGTCATATAATCCTGCTTAAACTTGCTAATGTAATTCAGAAATGTTTTACAAATTGCCAAATACTGAAAGAGTGGAATTTATGACCTTGAAAATTCATAAGCAAATTCAAATTTGTAGTTTATTTCGCCACCATATTTAGCAGTACTGTACAGTACATTTAAAATTATTCCTAAATGGGCCCAGGCTTTTCTGCCTAAATGTTGGCGGTACAGTGGCAATGTGTGTATCTCTCACCAATATGTCAAGGGCTCCAGTCCTGCTTGGCCCATACACTTGTCCCCTTATTAAACATCACAGGTTTCCCAGATTCCAACTTTCTCCTGTATTAATACTGGATAGACCAACTGCCCGAATGGCTATTAAGCTGATAAGTGGTTAAATGATAAAAAACCCAAAAACAATAATAATAATAATAATAATAATAACTGCAGATCATCAGGTTGGTTTAGGAAGGTCATTATCCCCTCAGCACTGGTTGATATGAAAGCATCTCTGAATTACCATAGTCTTATTTTAACATTTCTGTACTGTACTGTATTTTCAAGTACAAATTTCAGGAACATGTTACGTTTAAATTCATGTCTACAGATGTCTTGAAAGAAATCGAGTTTTAACACTTTAGTAATGCAGTTATGATAAGTCTCAACATTACTGGACTACATTAGCAAGAAAAGGTGAATATTTAATAGACAATATGTGTAATCTGTAGGTAGTACAGTATATTGTAAAATCTTTGATAGTCGCCGCCATTCCTTTTACTGTATTGTACTGTACGTATTAATATATTTTGTACAATACAGTGGTCCCCCGTTTATCAATAAGTTAACTAAATTTCATAATGACCAATAATTTTAATGTAAAAATGCAAAAATATTCAAGAAACCGACAAACTGGATGTTCACTCCACTGTAAACAAAGTTAAACTGAGAAGCGTTGGTGGGTGATTCGATCAGCTGATTGGCACACAAAACTGTTCCCTGTACTGTATATATTATCAATATGTTAACTAAATTAGATTGACCAATAATTTTAATATAAAAAATGCAAAAATGTTCAAGAGCACAACTTTCCTGATATTTACTCCACTGGAAACGAATGTAAACATAGAACTAATTACTGTATTGGCGGACTAGCCGATCAGCTGATGCGCACAACAAAGCGTAATTCTCGTAAGGCTTTCGTTAATCAAAGTTTTGTTCGTTAATGAAATTGAAAATCCTTATGGGAGCTAATTCGTTAACCGAAATTTTGTTAATTGGACCGTTCGTTAATCGAGGGACCACTGTAGTATAATTGCATTGCAGAAAATAGATAATCAAGACCATACAGTATTTTACATTAGGCTACAAGGAATCAGCAATCTGTATGTTTATCTATTTTCTTGTAGACTTGAGTGAGACATGATACTACTGTATATTGAATTTGTGCTCTGTTACAGGGATTTTCTACCCCGTGGTTCAGGCATTGTGACCAGACGACCCCTCATCTTACAGCTCATTAACCATCCACATGGTAAGTTGTTTCATCTACACTACTGTACTATACTGTGTGAATGTACCACTTTCCAAGATACACAAGTTGTCTACGCCCAAGATCGAGTGTGAAATTCTGCCCACTTGCTTGCCTGAGACAATTAAATAGCAATACTGTACTGTGATAATCTGATAATCTGTGAATGTATCTGTGCTCATTTCATACTACAGTACTGTATAATGATTGCAGCTTGTGTTTGTCTAATGATATACAGCGTACTGTACAGTATGAAAACTACCACCACCTTCATCACTAGCCAGTCCTCTTAGGGCCTTCTGCCTTAACAAGATTTTATTTATTTATTTATTTATTTTTATGGGGAATAGCCCACCCGAACACAGGTCATCAACCCACAACGGGGGTTGGGGGGGGGAATAAGAGTAAAAAGACATTAAAAATAGAAGAGAAAAAGACTAAATTAATCTACACCACGAAGATGCTGAAAAACCAGCTTTTTGAAGAGACAGATTGTAAGAGTATGGAAACACAGGAGGAGGTAGAGCATTCCACAGTTTGGCTGTGTGAGGAGAGAAGATGTACTATTACGGGTTATTCTAGTGTGACCGACATTCACACAGAAACAGTGGGCACCGCAGGCAAGACGAGTGTTACGAGCCCACTGCCTTGCTGGCGGTACACAGGATGCCAAATCCACTGAACATTGTCCGTTAAAGTACCTGTAAAAGAGAGAGAGTGAAGCAACATTGTGGCGAAGAGAAAAGGATGAGAGATTATCAACTAAAGGAGGAGAGTTAATAAGACGAAATGCCTTTGATTCCACCCTATCAAACAGTAGGATAGAAGAGCCACCCCAGATATGAGAGCAGTACTCCAAGTTAGGGCGAATGAATCCCTTGTAAACTTAAAGCAACTGCTCCGGAGTGAAGTAGCTACGGCATCTGTACAGTACAGCATTCCCAGCTTTCGGAAGGCAGCTTTTGCAATGTTGTGGATGTGTGGCTTCCATGACATGGAGGAAATGGTGAGGCCTAGCAAATCTATTTTAGAATTTGGCAGAATGATTGCATCATGAAATGTGATTGATGGGAGATCTTCTATTTTGGAAAGTGTAATTGGTAAATACTGTGTTTTATTACTATTGAATTTAACCAAGTTTCTACCTCCCCATTCGGAGATGCTGCACAGATCCGCATTAATAGACGTAATGATATCAGCTCTAGAAACAGATCTAGTTTGAGGGTTAGGGGGAAGGGAAAAATGTGAACAAGAGTGAAGAGAGAATCATCAGTATAAGAATGGATATAATTAGTTGTAGTGTGAAGTAAGTCATTGATAAAAAGAAGGAAGAGAGTAGGTGAAAGAACAGAACCCTGTGGAACACTACTATTGGTAGAGAAAGAGCAAGATCGATCCCTCGACAACAACTGCCATGGATCGGTTCTTAAGGAAGCTAGAAATTAGAGAACAAAGTGGGGTAGCAATGATGAGCTGTTGCTGTGGTGAAGTGTTCTTGTATGTAAAAATTGGGTCAGGTGTTTTGAAGATTTTCATATCATAGACAAATACAATACAGTATAGTACTGTATAAACTCTGTTGGATATCCCTCTTTTAAAAGAATTCTATTCTCATGTTTCTTGAAATTGTAATTATTATTCTCCCCCCTCCCTCGACATTTTAGTATTACAGTACTTCTTTACATCCAATGGATCACCTGAAGATTAACCACCATGATGCTAATATTACTTAGCCTGACTTAACCTACTCAAATCTAACCTAATATCCCTTTAGGTAGCATTATCATGGTTAATCTTGAGGTGAAATAAGCTTGGCTGTCTAATCATCAGGCAATTCTCTCCAACTGCAAAACTAATTGATGATGCTGGTCATGTGTGCAGGGTTACAGTAATAATAGAGGATAAATCGAATCCTCAGTTTTGTTAGTGAATCTTATCTCAGTGTGAAGGTAGTGGAGGCTACCGTTTCCTGTTATTCAGGTGGACAGGCGAGGCAGAATCCCTCTCAGCACCTGGATGAGGCTCCATCTCCTAACACACTTTCCACACACTCATACTTAAGCCCTGCACACACATGCCTTCCCCCCCCCCCACCCATCTCACTCTTAACTATTTCTTACACTGTTATTTCCAATTGTATCTTTGTCCTTCTTTTCTTTACGGTTGAATTATCAATGGCATTTCCTTTGCTCACCACACTGCACTTTTTTCGTCACTCCTCGGTACAGTACCACAGTCTGAACCATATCCACCTGAAATCTCGTATGTTTGTTCTATGATTATATCTTCCTTATTCCTGCAAAGTTATTGGCGTTGTTTTTTAATTTTTGTTTTTTTTTACGATGTTCTAGACTTTTACCAATGTGGATTATTTCAGGGGTTCAGTGTGTGTGTGTAAATCGTGTACAGTACAGTAGTGTGTAATGACAAAACAGTACTGTAATGTACGGAGAATGAGTTGAATAATTCTCAGTGGGACATCACATTATTTTGCAGAAATGGTGTATTAGGTGTGAGTGATTAGGGAAAAAATTTATAATGGTTCCTCGTCGATAAATTTTGGGTAGATTCGTGGTACTTTATTGTATAGACAAGCACAGTCGGGATATAGTACAGTATGTCATCATCACATGACTTTTTCTTACGTTTGTGTTATCAGGAAGATTATAACTGATAACGTTAGTATATGACCTGCATTAGAGCAGCAGTGAAAGGGAGTGGAAGCAGACAGTGTATTTTTTTAACATAATGTAAGTGATGTGTCCCGGGCGGTCTGTCGCTTGTGGTAATCTAGCTTTGTCGCCCGTTATATGATTCTTCCTGACACCCCCCCCCCCCTTCATCACTACCCGCCACAGTGTTCGTCTCTCCTGTCTGATCTCCGATTAACCAGAAATGTACCATTCCGTGCCTTCGTTTAAGTCATTTGCGAGTTTAAAATTAATGTAAATCTTTTGCGGTAGTGTGTGTGTGTGTGTGTAATTGTGTTGGAAATGATTTTATAAGTGCAGTAAAATACTGAATTGTATGTCATGACTTAACCATTGTTATTACAACACACTACCAGCCAAGTGGCCGACCACTTACCCAAGTCATATGTTATCAATACACTCATAAGCTGACATAAACTTCACTTAACCTTTCGTTAAAATAAAAGAATAGAGAGGATCCTCCTGATTATCCGCATTTGTTTGTGTTTAGTATAAATATTATCTTACGACTTCGCAGTGAAAAGTTAAAAACTTGCAACTTGCGTCACGTGATATGAACGGTTTTAAAGACTACCATGGAAACGTGAACACTAAGATTAAGGTTGTTTTACTTTGCATAGTTGGTTTTCTGACTTCAGGAGGATCAACCGTTCAGGGAAAAGTTTTGATTGGTTGGTGTCACTATTACGTTATGAAATTCGACAAACATGAAGCATGATAGAAGCTTTTCTGTCCTCCTGTGAAGCTTTATAGAATGAATGGGTGGCTTTGTTTAGTGTTATCAGGCATAATTATACAGTACTGCCGTTAGCTCTGATAAGTTTGGAGGTGGAAGAAGTAACGTTATACAATGTGTTTGAGTGAGCTCATAGTCATGCATCACCTCTCAGCCATGACTCACAATCTCATCCGGGTGGCGATATATATATATATATATATATATATATATATATATATATATATATATATATATATATATATATATATATATATAATTATTATTATTATTATTATTATTATTATTATTATTATTTTTATTATTTTTATTTAACGTTCTGTAGTGTGAAAACATCATTAAAAATAACACTCGCAGGATGATGGCAAACAACCCAAAGCTAACACATGCTTAAGTTTGATTGTACTGTATTGTTGATTCCAATAATGATGCTTCAATCAGTTTCCAGGACAAAAAATATATTGTACTTGCTAGATCTTGGCTTTGTGGCTTCGATAAGTTAAACTATGGGTTATTTATGTTTTTGGTTTGGTTACGATGCTGTAATAGTTTTTTTTTTACTGCAGAATATTTGGTTAAAAAATACATATCCAAGTTGAATGTGGTGTGACACAGTAATGTGTATTTGTTGTTAGAATGCTACTACTGCGCTTCAATAATGAGGTCTTTAAGCGTGTAACGAGGTTAATAATTACACTTATAACAACATAAAAAAATTATGAGATACAAGTCTAGTAATGTGTATTTCAGCTTGACGTATATAGGATGTCCCCTTTCGGCTGTCAACATCCTCCTCTTCTCCATAATTGTGTTCGTTCTCTACCACGTCCATACTTATTTCTATTTACATAATACCTCCTTTATGTGATAATTTGTCTTAATAATCGTGAAGTACCGTAATGTGTTGCAGCGAAGATGTCAGTAGTGGTTAGTGATGAGTTTGAAGGCGACGTTGATGTCAGTGTATCCAGAATGAAAACATTGGCTTGTGGACTGGATCGTCAGTCGGCTGGAACACACTCCTTTCTTTCGTGCTAGCAGCTTATATTATCTACACTCTACTGTACCACCCAGGCGCTCACGCTGATGTACTGTACTGTAGCGTTATCATAAATTGTACACCAGTTGATGCTAGATTTATGGATGTTTATTCAGTAATAATGTCATACAAGTTTACAGGGATCCAATATGTATTACACTGTACATAGACAATGCAGGTATACAAACAATAAGGTAGTGTTTATCACCTTGTGTTCGAAGGTCGTAAAATAGATACAGTGGATATGACTTTTTGAGGATAGTGATTTTTTTTTTGCCAGTGTTTGTCTTGTAAGCCGTAAGATATATAAACTGTATATTATCTGTCCCAAACTGAGCTGAAACAACGATGCATGTTCCCTAAATGGTATGCATCAGGCCAGGCCGAGGCAACATTCTACGGTAAACACCAATTGATAGAAAAGTGCTTGCTGTTCAGGGAATCTCTCACTTAGTTATTCTTTTTTTTTTTCGCTCTCTCTCTCACTCTTGATTTTATAAAAGGAAGTGTGAACACA